AAAGATAGGCTATTGAGAATCAGTGCGAAAGATAGTGCGCAAAAAAGTTTTTCAAGTAAAATTAATTGTTACTCCATTTGATGTGCAATTAAACAATAATATATAATATTTATTCAGATAAATATTAGTTACATAATTATAATAAATATATATAAGGAGTCATATTCACAATAACACTAAAAATATGTATTTTATTGACTCCTGTTTATAAGAAATTAACAGTTTCTATTTTATGGTAATAAGACTTGTAACAAAATTTATGTAAAAAAAATATTTTAATTTAAATATTAAAATATTTGTCCAGATAAATATTTAAGGATGATTTGGTGTGAAAGTTAAAATAACAAACTTTCCAACAGCTTATTCCTTTTACGTTTCATTATATACTTATATTATTCATTTTATATTGAAATTTCATAATTATTAATACAATTACGTGATTAAAATTAATATAATAACATGTCATTTATATAAACAATGTCCATCATAATGTAAATTTGTAAAATATTTGAACTTTTTTTTTTAAGTATTTAAATGTATATTATACATATACTTAAATAATTTCTAAATAAAATAATCAAATTATATATTATATTAAATTTATAAGGCTTTTGGACATTTTCTTCAGAGATGCCAAAGAATTTGCAGGTTATCACAGTGTCATGATACATTACTAAAGAGCTTCTCGTCCTGATGAAGTGAATGGCAAGATTCACAAAATGTTGACATTAGCAATCATGACACGGTGATAACTCGCAAACCCTTTAGCACCTTTGAATATTATATTATATAAAGAATTAATATATTACATAAAATATCATGTATCGTCCAGGTATGTCGCATACTACAGAATGATTTATAAGATTTAATAATTTAATGCATATAGCTGCTTTCATAAATGCACTTGTAATGTTTTTTATGACAACTTGTGGCATGTTGACTGGATTATATATATATATAGTTATCGTTTCTGTCTCAATTTACTATCTGCTCATTCCGTTCCTAGTTTTTATCTTATATTTCATTGTCAGCTGGCACGCTTCTAATAGCTGTTTTCGTTTTTCTTAAATTTTCTCAACTGTGATTTTTGTGTTTTTGATTGATTACGCAGGTTTAACAACTTATTCAGCGGTGTACCTGAACAATACCCTATTTTCCATCCTTCAACATATTCTAAATCGTCCAATCATGTCTCTGAAGTATTCCTGTTGACAAGACGGACGCGTCAGCGATAATTCTCTTTCAAAAATGAAGCATCACTTTTTGTGTGTGTGTGTGTGTTTGTGCGCGCGCGCGCACGTGTGTGTAATGATCTCATGTATTAGCGTGCGTGCGTGCGTGTGTGTGTACTATCACAGACTTATCGCGTGTGCATGGAAAGTAGAAAACGCTACTCCAGGCACATCTTTGCGAGCTTCCTTTCGCAGCACGGAAAAACCGGAGAAGGAAAAAGAAAAAAAAAGAGGGGAGGAAAACCCGAATCCCTGAGCGCGTCCGTTACTACATTACCATATGATTTACGCGTGCCCTCCCCCCTTCCCTTCACCGTGCGGACGGGTTTTAAATCGCTGGAGCTTAGCCGCCCCTACTTGCCGTCTCTCTCTTTCGCCCAATCTTTCCTCCTATCCCTTCACGCCCCTTCATGCTCATTCTCTCTGTGCGCAATGAAGACAAATACGCGTGCGAGGGAGGGACAGAGAGAGAG